ATACAGGAAAGTGAACTTAGGCCTCACATATGTTAGGCAAGCACTCTACACTGAACAATATACTCAACCTTAGTTTCATTTTTAAATTTTGAGACAGGGTTTTGCTAAAATTTTCAAGCTGGTCTCGAATTCCATTTTTAGTCCAAGTGGTGACTGAATTTGTGATCCTCATGCCTCAGCCTCCATAGCAACTGGGATTACAGGTCTACTACTACATCTGGCTATAGCAGATAACATGCTCTAAGAAAACTCATTTTGATCATTTTGACCAAAACCATTACAGTGTGCCAATTTTTACTTTACTGCTATAGTTTGTGCATACATAGGGATGAAATAAAACTAATAGATTCAAAGAGTATTCTAATTGTCAGGAAAAATGTTTGATAAAGCTACAGATTCTCAGCCAGGTGTGCTGGTGCCCACCTTTAATCTCAGCACTCAGGAGGTGAAGGCAGATAGATCTCTGAGAGACTGAGGTCAGTGTGGAGTTCAGACCAGCTCAGGCTATAGGGAGACCCTGTCTCGAAAACAAAACAAAACAAAAGAAAACAAAGCCCTCTAAAAACAAATTCTCTTTATTTTGTAAAAATACATTATTTTTCATTTCTTATGGAAACAATCAAGCTCATCAATGCTATATTTATTTGAAATGACAGTTCGAACTAGCTTATTGCCTGCTTCCAAAACACAGTTTAACTAATATTTGTATGACTTTAGATTTGTGATTGTGTAGCTAAATCCTTGCTAGTTTGTCTGAGTTCTTCGTTTTAGTTATTGATTATTTACCTGTATTATATTCTTTGATGCCTCCTTAGTGTTTTTATGCCACAGGTGAAGATGTCAGGACTGTGGAAGTCTCAGAATTGTTGATGAACCCAGAAGAAGCTTCTGAACTGACCACAGTGTTCACCACTGGTTCAACTGTGGGAGCTGGTGTAGGCTCAGCAGGAGCCATGGTACTGAAGGCAGGGCTAGCAAGGGTGGGAGAAGTGGCAGGGATGGCAGGTTTATCTTGATTTTCTTTTGTAGGAATGGCAAGAAATTGTGGGTGTGGAATGGGATAAGGTGCTGTAACAGGCTGGGGGATATTTGGTAGGAATTGCCATTTGACAATTTGGATGGGTGGCCTTAGCAGAAGTAGTTTTACAAAATATGGGTAAAACTTGTATGGGTTCACTATCATAGATGCTCTGTGCTGGTAGTAACTGGGCTCATAATGAGGACTGCTGTTCAGCACAGACTGAATTGGGATTTGCAGAACTCTTTTCTGATTATACAAGTATTCTTCCTTTCCATGGCACTGTAAAAAGAGCAAATTAGGAATAATGGTTGGTATTGTTCAAAATGCAAACACATCTTAATTCAGCAGTTTTTGAAACAATGCAATATTTGATACTGAGTAAATACAACATTGGAAGTATGGAATCCAGCAATTATTATTTTATGAGCTATGGATATGCACATTTCCCTTTCAATTTATGATTTCTGATAGTGTGAAAAATTATTTGTACCAATATAAACATAACATTTGATTTGAAGGTATTAGATAATCAATAATGTAAAATGAGTTTTGTCATACTAGAAATATGGCATAACGGAGATTACTGAATAAACATTGAATATTAATAAAATACCTAGAAAATTACACCTAAAAAAGAGTCACAGAGAACTCTGAAATGCATACAAGCACACAGGACATGCAGAGACACAGAGATTCATCCTTGTCACACTTGTAATTGTTCATAAATTTTATTTAAGTAGTAGGCAGGAGATGGGAAGTTTTATAACAGAATAATAAAATGTGGAAAGATTTCTGAATTTAGAAACTTTGAATTAAAAATAACTTAGCTTAATTTTCTCCACTAAAGGTCAGCTAAGAAATTTTTCTATTTTTATTTAGTTCTGTCAAGTAAAAGTAAATAAAATTGCAGTCATATAAAATTCTTAGGACACTTTGCATGTCAATATAAATGAAATAGCAAAGTCATACTGCAAAGCAAGCATTTCCCATAAAAGGAAACATTTAAATGTGTTCATCCAAAGACATTTTGGAACAAAAGGAGCCCTTAATACAAGCCCCTGAAAAGTATTCACAGATGAGTGGGAAAAGGAGGATTCCCCAGCTGAGCTTTACAAAGTGGACATGAGAGACTTTAGCTTTACTTTTGTTCCTTTTTCTCTTGATGCTAAATCTGTAGAGTGTCTCAGGGGCGAAGTATACATGAAAATCAAGCATTCAAGATTTGGGCTGTTCCAGAAAGAATTTCAGATGAACATCCAGCTTGACCCATATTATCTTTTGCTCAAGTGGTGTCTTTCATTATCAAAGGATACTAGATTATTTCGTGGAGATCAGCCATTTATTCGCTTTATTGATGGAAGTTATTGTCCTTTGCAGATTGTTATACTTCGTCGTTAATGTTTCTGATAGAAACAATTAAAGAAAACTTACTGCTCTCTGTCCTTGGTTTTGCACCTCTGCAGCCTGAGGAGTCACAGAAAAATAAATAGTGAGAAATAACAAGAAAAACAATCAAAGCAGAGATCTTTTTGTCTGTTTTGCTTTTCTATTGAAAACAAAGTATTCTTATCCAATGCTTTTATTCTGGAGGAAGAGTTAAATTGGCAAGTAAAAGAAGATATCACCTTGCTAGTTTCTTTGCTTAATTTTGACTGCTTATAGGTTTGAATGGTAAAATCTATAAACTGTAACAGTTCTTTTGAATTATTTCATGCTATCCTTGTGTCTTGAAGTCTTTGTGAAAATGTCTTTCAGGCAGAACATAGCCTTTACATTCTTGAAATCTTAGTGACTCTGACTACCTGCACAAGATGGGAACAAGATGGGGCCGTTCAGCATTCCATCAGGGAGCAGGGAAGGGCTCACAAGGCCCCAACCTCCCTGAAGAGCTGTTGGCCATTCATGATTACCAAGAGCCAGACATTTTCAGAGTGCTAACCATTACACAATGACACCTCTTAAAGAGAGGCATTTTCTCCAGTGGTGTAACTGCTGGTAAGTTGCTCATGCTCCTGTGAGTAATTCTAATTGCTCATTGTATATATATTCTTCAGAATGAAGAAAATTTATAATTAAAATATTTAAAAGACAGAGAGTAGATGGAGGATGGAATAGAAGGAGAAAGGGATCAGTAGGCCTGACAAGAGAGGCAATAGGTGAATACGATAAACTGCATCCTGTACGTGTACTATGATGCCACAATGAAACCCATTTTATGTGTAATTAGTATATGATAAGGAAAAGCTATAGAGCAGGAAATGATTTATTTTATAACTTAAAGTTCTTTTGTATTATTCAAAGAAAAAACCCCAAGATTTTAGTATGTCGGTGGCTGCAATAAAATGTAATTTCCACAAATAAATGAAGCTAACTAAAACCCAGAGGGATTTTTTTTATTCTTATTCTTTTATGAAGTTAGTTAAAAATTAATGAACAAGAAATTAAAGAGACTGCGCTGCAATTAAGTTAGAATATTCTAACTGGAAAACAATTCCTGTGAAACTATTTACATTCTCATAGAATTATAAACATTTCTCAAGGAATACTTTACAGCACAACTTTTTTTTTTTTCATAC